GGCGAGCGGTAGCCCAATAAAAGCCATGCTTCACTAATGATGTCACGCAAAAGCGTGGCTCTCATTGGGCTACCGCTCGTCACTCACCGCTGCGCTGCTCTGGTCTGTAAGCTCCTTAAAAGTTCGATATAAGAGCGACAAAGTGACGATTATAGAACGCCAGAGCGACGACTATATAGAGCGATAGAGAGGACTAATGAAGTGCAAGAGTGGGGGAAGTTATCCGTCGCCACTTTTTGCCTCACCCCCACTACCGCTATTGGCACCGAGTTGATCCTCCTTAGTTCTAGTCTTCTTGTTTGCACTTTTACAGATTACAAAGGTTAGATTCAATATTTCTGGCATGAAACTAACTAGTTGACAGATAAACTGTGCGACAAAGAGCTATCGTTGTGTATGTTCCTCTCTTTTCCTCTAAAGCAACGATGTCAACTCCTGATGATATTTCGATCATAATGCATATAATATTCTAAATAATGTCTTCAATATAAAATATGTACCTATATTTTATAAAAAAGAATATTTTTGTGGTTATTATGAAGAGTAAGAATAAATCTTAATCAATTATTAAATAGTATACATTATTTTCTTGGATAGGTTAGGTAACGTAAAAACGCGATATTTTTTTAGTAACATTAAATATTATTCCAATAGTGTATAGATGAAAAAATTTATATATAAAAAATAGAAAAGGTATATTAAAATATTACATTTATAATTAAAATTTAATTTGTAACATTGCATACATATAAAATGGAAAAAATAGAACAGAAAATTGTTCAAAAATAAAACTAACTCTTATAACTAATAAACACTATATTTTACATATAAAAAAATTTAATACATATAAATACATGAAAAATTATTAATTCTTAAAAATAACAATTTTCGTATGTTTATTCCTTATTCGTTTTACAGCATCATTTTTTCCTTTACATATATGATGTAACCTTGTTAATAAATATAATGTTATTAATTGTGTTCTGTGGTCAGCTAATGGTGCTTGATCAAGCTGTCTTAACAGTGTTGGTTGAAAAGAGAAGAGTATACACAACGATGGCTCTTTGTCGCACACTTTCTTTGTCAACATGTCAACTTCACGATTTCTAGGGGAAACAGTATGAATGCTTCGTCTAGGTATATATGTCGTTGATAACTTGCTTATTTCACGCATGCGCACTTCATTTTAGCCAACACTAACATCAAAAGTACCGACAGAGAGTTGCACTACTGTATATACTATGCCAGTACCACGCCGCACCACGCCAGACTCACCAAGCTCATCAAACAAAACGCGACAGTTAAGCCCAGTGTCCACGATGCTAGAAATCCGTCCGAGATCTCGGATAAAGAAAGAATTGACCAATCGCATTGATCATGTGACTAAATTGTTTAAATGTGATTGGTTAATTCTTTCTCTCTCCGAGATCTCGGATCAATTTCTAGCATCGTGGACACAAGGCTTTACACTGTAAACTATTTCTTAGCCACCTAGTATTTTGTGGCCATATGCATATTAAGTTGGTAACGGAGAGGTCGCTAGTGAGCGGTACCTCCGCGACATCTAGCGCAGATGGTAACACCTGACAGTTCCGCTTGACAAGACATCGATGTATATAGGCGTATGCGAGAGCAAACCGGACGTCTTTCGTTCTTTGCCACGCGGTAAAACAACTCTCGAGAAATACGGAGTAATCGCAGATTGAAATTCGGAGTAGTGTGTAGAATCGTGCGACAATATTGGAGCCTTGAGAGCTCAGATCGGCCCCTGTGAAAAATTGGAGTATCTGGCGAAGGGAGAAAGAACGTGGTGCCATAAGTCGTTTACAGTTCATTTCCGCTATTTGTTACAAGGACTCGCGGAATCTGTACGCGAGACGATACGGTAATAGTCGTATAAAAGCCTTTATCAATAAAGTGCCTAGTGTTGTGTAATGGCGAATTCGATTGGAAGAACTAGTGCGCACTGGTGCATATTAAAGCCATTGTACACTAATTTAATTTAAGTATAAAAATGAAATGCAAATATTTCGAATTATGAAATACATATTTTACCTAATAGTACAATAAAATGTATTAAGTATTTCACGATTTAATTGATCTCTATGTTTATTTATAAACATATTTTTACGTTATTTCGTGTACGACGGCTTTAATGTGCACCAGTGCGCACTGAGTGCGTCCAATCGAATTCGTTATTAGATACACGATAATCGTAGAAATCTTTATTCAATCGCCTTTCCATCCAGACATAGGGGTTTATTTTCTATATCTTTTCCTTGTAAATTCGAAAAAATACTAGGGTAATAGATCTCACTTAATTAAAAGAACAAACTATAAATTTATACTGTAGAAAGTATCTTGTAGCACATGATATTTCAATACGGTTCACTTGGTACTACAAATGCTTCGAAGCGTTTTCTGATTGGTCAATCAGGATCTTTCCTATTTTTTGTGCAGTCACGTGGACTGCAAATTTTTCAAACGTATTGATTAGCTATAAGATAGAGAATTTCTAGAAAAATTTGAAAACTCTGAGCCAATCAATAGATGGATCAGAACAAGAAAAGAAAAAATAGTTACCAAATAGTTAACTCTCGCTGCTATTGGATGATCTAAAAGAATACACCAATAACAGCGCTCAACTGTTGTATCCGCTGAATACAGCCAATGGATACATCCAGAAGCACGACCGCTCAGTGAACTTTTACATCTGATTGGCATATTTCATTAGATCTAAAAATATAGACCAAACAGGTACAAGAGCTCATTAAACGCTCATTGAGCGGTCGTGCTTCTGCATGGCTGCGTTCAGCAGACTCAACAGTTTTGCAACCGTTTTATGATTGTCTGCTGAGATAGGACCATTCTTCTAGATCTAAAAGTATGATCCAATTAGCGCGAAGGAAACTTCCAACAGTTGCAAAACAACCGTTCTGCTGAACGCAGCCATTGTATCTAATGGTCGCGTTCAGCAGACTCAATTGTTGCGAGAACGGATCCGTGAGCGCTTGCTGCTATTGGATATTCTTTTAGGTCATCCAATGGCCCCCATTGGCTGCGTTCAGCAGAACATTTGTTTTGCAACTGTTGGAAGTTTCCTTCGCGCTAATTGGATCATACTTTTAGATCTAGAAGAATGGTCCTATCTCAGCAGACAATCATAAAACGGTTGCAAAACTGTTGAGTCTGCTGAACGCAGCCATTGCTTGCACTTTTTACACTCGGCATCTTCGCTTTCTCTCTTTTCAAGGTCAAATATACTTCTATCTCATTTTAAGTGTAAAAATATTTGGAGATTTCATACAACGCGAACAAACCTAATGCTTTCCATTTAGCGGATTCAAATCATGTGGTGAATATTTGAAAACATTCACTTGTTTGATTGATCGACTCGCATTGGTCGCGTTCAGCAGACTCAACTGTTGCGGAAACGGATCAGTGAGCTCTCGCTGCTATTGGATGACCTAAAAGAATATCCAATAGCAGCAAGCGCTCACGGATCCGTTCTCGCAACAATTGAGTCTGCTGAACGCGACCATTAGATACAATGGCTG